ACAAAATTTGTTCCGTTATCCGAAACAATTTTTGTTGGCTTGCCTCGACGCGCTATAAACCGACGAAGAGCCGCTAAAAATTGTCTACTGTCAAATCCGTTACTAATTCTATATGCACTCCCTTTGTGACAAAACAAATAAATATACAAACATAACATTTAAAAACCTTATAACTCCTGCCTCTGCGATCACGGATTTGAAACCACCCTGTGTAATCAACACCCACAACCGAGAACGGCAAGGAAGGTATTACTCGTTCCGCAGGCAGGTCTCCCATCAAGTATTTTACTGGACGCCGTTTTGCCTTGAAACATTTAATACATTTATGTACTGTTTGTTTAGCCAACTGTTTACCACGCATCGGCCAATATTACTGTTGAATGTGTGCCAGCAGAAGTGTGGGTCCAGCGTGTAAGAGTTGAATGTGTTCATGTCAAAATAGTATTTTCACAACATGATGTTTAAACGGAAGGAGAATTGGATGTTTCTGATTAAACGATAGTGTAGAATTCGCCAAACTCCCCCCAACTCTCACAATATCATCACAATCAAGAAAAGGATTAAGACTTATAACTTCGCTGGATCTAGGTAACGCCTCGTTCCTTCTCAATGCATTATTTTCGTTTCTATATTCAGCTTCTTGTACAACCCTTAATATTAATTTGAGAGATTGTGACATTTCATCACAACTAAGAGTCCCTATTAATTTTACCTTATCCTTATTAATATTGTTAATAAATCTCAAGAAGTATGCAACTATACGAATTGTCTTATTATAACAAGACCACCGATCTAATGGGAGAAGTTGTCTTAAATATGCAGAAAAATTACATGTGGTCAACCGCTCGGGAATAAGTTTTAATGATAGTGAACTATGTAAGACCGTCCAAGACTGTCTAAGCAGCCTGAGCCAAGAAGGACCATTCCACGAAGGGTTCTAGACCTCTAGACAAACAATCTGCTGGATTCTGCGATGATGAAACCCACCTCCATTCATTAATCTTTGTTAACAAGTGATTTGTTCGCTCTATTTGCTACAAATTTCTGTAACTTGTTTGTTGCCATTTGTAACCATGATAACACTACGTTGGAATCCGTCCAATAAAATATCTCAATATTATTCCCTATATCTCAGGCGATTTTAACCTTATGCATTAAATTTGCTAACAGCACAGCTGCACATAATTCTAAACCTGGTATAGTTTGTTCCTTCAACGGACTTATTCGTGACTTTGAGACGAGTAATCGTGACGATATGTATCCTTCATCATCTTCAAACCTCACATATATACAAGCACCATAGGCACGTTTTGAGCTATCACAAAATCCATGTAGTTGTTAAGACTTCGATTTAGAACAACTGACATAGGCATGTCTAGGCAGGTATCTGAAGATTTTTAATTTTTCCTAGTTGTTTAGAAAACAAAGACCATTTAACTAAAATATCGTCCGGCACCCTTTTATTTTATTAATTTTCAATAACCATAACTCTTGCAATATTAGTTTTGGTATAACTATGACTGGACCTAATAGACCTAAAGGGTCAAATATTTTAGAAACGTCTGATAATATGGATCGTTTAGTACAAGCGGAATTTGGTTCAGTAAGTGTATAATTGAAAACGTCGTCTTGACAAAACCAGCACAGTCCCAGCACCTTGCCATATTGTTCCTTACTAAAGTGTAGCGCATCCTGGTTAGTGTAATTCAACTCAGCTAATGCTTTCATTATGTCCTTATTATTAGTTTTCCATTTTCTTAAGATCATCGAATGGCCTTGCAGCTTAGTATAAATTTCCTTGGATAGAGCTATTAACATATAAAGATCATCATGACTACTCAACAAATCATCCATATAAAAATCATCTAGTATTATTTTTGAAGCTTGTTGCACAAGAGGCGTGTTTTTGTTTGTTTTACCTTTTACCGTTTCTATCATATCATCCGCTATTTTTTTTAAACGAAAAAGAGCTGATGATGTACCGTAAGTCACTGTATTTAAGGTATACACATTTAGCTTATCATGAGGATTTTCACGCCGAACTTTGTACTCCCCCCATTCCCACTTCAGCTTAGCGATCTGGTGAGCTGTGTCGGTTGTTCTAGTTCTTCTACAGATTTTCTGATTCTTGATTCGATCATGTTAGATCACTATTACGAGAAACACCGAGTAAAGCTCTCTTCATCGCTCGCTGTGCGATTTTGAGGTTCTTAGTCAACGACCACATCACGGCTCCGTATGTCATCACGGCACAGAGCAATTTCACTGTGTGTCATTATAACATAAATTCCGAGTAGTACTCGTTCCTGCTAATATCATCATCCAATATTGGAGAGGACTTGTTTGGTGTTTCTCGTTCTCGTTTATACTTATCAGGTATATTACACCGTTTAGCTACAGGTACATCCAAACCATTTAGATTAGATTTTTTGCTTGGACAAGGCTAAGCGAAACATGCGAAACGTGACACGACTTCAGATCAAACAAATAAATAATATTGATATTACTTTTTTATTTGATCCGAACTGACAGCTCACCCGATGGTAAGTGATCACCGTCGCCCATTGACACCTGAATTGTATACAACCTTGAAATTAACATTCTTATTCTAGTTGTTCTTGGGATCTCACGGCCTTAAGTTGCTGTTTCAGTATTAATGACATACTCGTAGATAAAATGAATTGGTACTCACTCTTCGGGCAGGCTGGGGGCTCCCTCCTCCTGGCCGGGCGCGTTCATGTGGTACACGCAGAAGTTGTCCAGTAGCGCGCGCATGTCGATGAAACCGAAGAACGGCTGGAAGCTCAGGTCTGTGAACAAAGAGCGCATTGATATTCATACGTACGTCCATCACTAATAAATTACAGCACCTACAGATATGTCGGAACCAAAAAACGAAATTTATTTATTAACACAATGGAACTGGGACAAAATTTATTTGATAAGTAGACACATATCTTTTAAGGAATATCACCAATCTAATAGTGTAGTATGAAAAACTATTGAACTAATTAATTAAGAAACAAATTTTGAATAAAAAAAGCAAACTTGAGTGTACAAAAGAGAACACTCGGTTGGAACGAACTTAAATATAAATATAAATTAATATAAGTACACGACTATTCACAATACGCTACGTAACAGCTGAAGGTGGTGGCGGAATATCGTAACGGTTACACTTTCTTTCGCCTAGTCTCAATCCGCCAAGTCTGTATCGTGCGACAAGGAACATCGTTTTAAAAATAATATTATGTTAAATACAAAAATATTCTTTCTCTCTCAGCCGCCCCATATAACGAAAGAGAAAGAATACCGAAAGACGCAGGACACTTACGTTGGTTTACGATAAAAACAAAAAATACATTTTAGAAGTAATTAATGCAATATTAAATCATAACACCTCTCTCCGTCAATTTGCTTAGGATATGGCACAATTACACTTGGTCGTTAGCCCGTATTCGGGTGCACGCAAGACTTTACTCAAAGGGCACTCGAAGCAATATTTACACTGGAATACGGACTAGAAGACGGTGTCGAGTGACCAGAAGGAAAACTACCCGAATACGTACTGGACTCCGTTCATTTACACTTAGTCGTTTATCCGAATTCCATAGGCACTCGTATGGGGCTAACGACTAAGTGCAATCGCTCCATTATTCTATGTTTGGACTTCGCTTAGCAGCTTAATATTCAAAAGGTAAAATTTCGCATTGCTGAATTCGCCGAGAGATTCGAAAGTTTGAAAATATAGATAATGAATAAATATGTGAAAGTATATCTTTCTCATTTGGATTACATCAATATGCATAACAACTATAACACATACTAAAAAAGAAGTTGAAAGCTTAGTTAGGTATTAACTTAAAGTGTTCCCATTATTTCAAAGAGGGTGCACCAAAAACTCAATCTATGATTTGATTTTCTGCTTACTTTAAGTATGACCTTTACAAGACCCAAAATAGCTCTGCTGCACGCTGACCCCACTAGCAATAAAGAAACAGATATTTACTAAAAGATGAACAAAACAAATAATCATCCTCATCATTAGATTTATGATAACTAACTTTTGGTTACAAGGTTGTACAAGGGGTTGGCATTTTAGTCATAACTTCAAACATGTTTAAAGAAAATTTTACTCGAAAAAAATCCACGCGGACCAGGCCAGCAGCCGAGACTCGAGCCCGCACCCTTCGCTATCCGGGCTAATGCACTGACTATTATGCTACCGCAGCCCTGACGGCCGTGTCGAATTTTCCCTAGCCTTAGGCTGCAAGGCAGCGCTATCTCTTCGCAAAGCAGGTAACCCACAATGTCAAATGAATACCTTTACAAGTATTAAACATTTCAAAGAAGAAATAGCAATTATAGTAATATTTTTGGATGTTTTAAGCATTTAACTGCTAGATGTTAATGCGGAACAGGCAGCATACGGGACCCTTCCCGTTCTCGTTCTCGTTCCCGTCTGCTGCCTGGTCCGCGTGGATTTTTTATAGTAAAATTTTCTTAAGATTTAAACTCCAAAAAAATCCAAATATTCAAACATCTTATTTAAATAAAACACTATTTCAGCGGATTTATGATGCACTTTTATTCGTATCTCTAGGTTTCGAATACTGTAAGTCTTTCAATTAAGTGTTCAAACGTTTAATAGATTTTCGCAGGTATCTTATCAAAATAATCAAAAATCATACTCTTGAGAATGAGCCTGTAAAGGATTCTATTCGAGTAATAAATAGAGCTTATTCAACTGTATAGTTAAATAGTACTATTAAATTTTTCAATTACTTTAATTTGCTACATTAATAACACAAAACAATAATAAGAAATACAAAAATTATCGAACACGTCGCAAATACTTTACGAACCAAACAAGTGTCACAATTGCTTGATACAAAATTGAGAATATAAATTTTAAGCAAGCACCCAATGAAAGATTCGCTCTTTTAATTAAAAACGCCAAAGATTTTAATTCACCGCAATGCTCCGAGGTATTTACACTAATTGACGCAATTTGTTGATGAATGAATATTCATGGGGGGATATTAAACGTGGCTTACATTGTAGTCCAGGCAACGAATGCTCAAAAACAGGTATAGAGGGAATTGCTTAGAACACAATTTTTGACTTCGTGACTTTGTTAGGACTAGTTAGGAGGTAAACATATCAAAAGTCCCCGCCCGTAGCCCTTAAGCCGGGGGGGGGGGCTTGAAGGTCCCATTATTAGGTTTTTCGCATATATCTCGAAAACTATGCATCCTAGCGACATGAGACTTTCACAAAAGTGAAAGCTGATTAAATTTGCTACAAGTCTTATTCAGTCAAATTTTTTGATATCTTGTATAGTTTTCGAGATATCCGCTCTTGAAAGTCTGTAATTATGGAAAAAAAATTTGTTCCCATTTTTGCTCTATTTGACCGGATAACTCTTCAACAATGCACCCAAAAAATAAATGCCGGCCGTAGGGTTTTGTAGAGCATTAAATTATCTTCAATAATAGAAACAATTGCCTTTTTTTTTATTTAAGGACAATATTGTTAGTGTAGTAGACGTATGGGGGCGGTACGGTGGGCACTAGGCCGCGTACTCAGCCCCCACGCGCGGGCCGTCCTGCGCACGTCTGTGGGGTCCTCGCGATACCCCGGGAGACCCCTGCCGCGGAACCTCGGCAAGGCCGGGAGGCTGCTAGGTGCGGAGACGCGGAAGAATCCCTAAACGGGGATTCCGCGGCTTCGCACTAAGCAGCTTAGAGGGTGTTCGCAGGGTTTTTTAGCGGATATTATGCCGTATAGCGCCCGTAAGGGTTACGGGGTCCTCAGTGGGCAGCCACTGCTGGGGCTCGTAAGGCTTGCGGGAGCCAGGTGTGAGGTCCATAAGTAAAAAAGAAAGTAAATTAGTGTCATTGAGAAACTGTAATTATCTAATAATAATATCTGTAATAATGATATCCGCTCTTGAAAATCTGTAATTATAGAAAAAAAAATGCTTTACGTTTATGCTCTATTTGACCGGATAACTCTCGGATAACTCTTTAACGATGCACCGATGTCTAAATAGCACACATGCTCATTTTAGAATATGTACTTGTTGGCCCACTGACCAGGTTCTTCACACAATCCAGAAAATAAGTTTAAAAAAACTGCAAGAGTTAACTACTTTATGCAAAAAAGGTTATTATAAATTAGATGATTATTTAAATGATAAGATTGTCTGGTGTTGTATTGGTCCAGCTCAACACAAAAAGTAGTATTAAGAATGATTAAAATTATAAAACTGGACTTTTAAAAAATTGAGACGGTAGGGCCCTGTGCCTCTGGTTTTTTTTCCGGTTCTCATTGGCTATACAGGTACGAATACGGCAGCAGTTTTCGATACAATTGACTATGACGTGCAAAAAGAGATTTGTAAAAAAATCCAATATAGTTAATTTCTTGCTCTTTTGGGGTGGGAAGGACCTTGATCCTCGTCTTCGTTTACATTTTCTTTGTCTGTGTCATTTTCTCCATCGGAACCCTGTAGGGAAACGGTCAGAGGATCCTCCTGTTCTTCTTCACCTTCGGAGTCAACTTGAGGGACCCCATTCAAGCAGTTCCCCTGGCAATTTTGGCACGCTGGGGAACATTTGAGGCTTGCTTTTTTGCAGCCGCACTTCGCGCTTGCACAGTCTTTCGTGCATCGACAGAAAATCATTTTTAGAATCTCGTCCGGTGCAGCTGCTAACTCACTGTGCACTGGGGCCAGACAGTCGTTTTCAATCTTCCACCCGTACATCTGAGGAGGCAGATAATTTCCCAGCCACAGCTGAATTTGGTGGAATGTTCGAAGGGAATGCTGTTTTACTGCTCCCTCGGTAGGAGGAAGACAAGAGATATCAGGCTTGAGGTGGCCACTGATTTCAAGAATGACTTGTACCTGTAGGCATTGAGGGAAATCTCTTTCGCTGGAGCTCCATACCACCTTAAGATGCAGGTTTCACCTGCCTTTTGTACTTGAGCGGTGGTGGAGAAAGGGTGTGAAAAGACCGCTGCTGCTTTCTGGATTTCTGGTGACTTCAGATACAACTTCGCAAATGCGACCTTGCTTTTTCGAAATGCGGAAGATGTTGTGTCGCATCCAGTGAAGGCGTGCAGAAACAATATATCCTTGAAACCTTGTTGCTGAAGCTCTTGGGACGAGAATAAGGAATCCCTTGTCATCCCGCGTCCAGGCTTGATAAAAATAACGTCCTTATGCGCATCAGCTTTAGCCATCAAGAGGACTATGAGATCGACATCTTCACCCACAATGCCGACAGCTTTTGTTCCCGACATTTCCACAGCCGTATCCACAATCAGAACGTCCGCATCAGTTTCTGCTTGAAGGGCCCTTATCCCATTGTCCTCAAGCTTGACCTTAAGCATGTTGATGAGCCTGCTTTTGTTGAACTCGTTCGACAGAAAATCTTCTTGTTTGACGTTTATCTCGGTGTCATCGCTAAAATGAATGTCAGCAGACTTGCTGAGTCGATAGCGCCTTTGCTGCTCCGCTACTTTCGTGCTTGAGTTTGATGAGGAATAGCCATCAAAAACTAAAGTACATCTCTTTCCTTGATAGTTTTTCTTGATAAAGTGGAGGTAGCTCTCGCAGATTGTCGATATCTTGGCACCTCTTTGCCAAATTACTTTATGGAGGAGAAGCCCTCCGTCAAATACGATGTTCAGCTGTGCGACATATACATCCTTGGTCGTAGTGTTGAATAGTCTATACAGCGCTGACTTTGTCGATTTCCTCATCCCACTCTCATTGAATAGGGCTAATGGGAACGGGGCTAATTCGTATTCCATGTATAGCTTCAAATCTTCGTCTGTTTTTTTGCTAATGGATATACGACGGAATAGCAAGAATGGGTCCACAGGAATCTTTTCGTCGTTGATTTTGATAGATGAGCTCATTGTCGAAAGGGGAAGAGCTCGATCTTTTCGAGCCAATTTGATATTAGAAAATGTCGAATTGACCATTTTAGCCATTGCTTGCTTACCAATTGCAACAGCATTGTAGCAGGTGATCGTTGTATCTCCAACAACTCCTGTCGCGATAGATATAATGTCTCTGGTCTCTGGGAAGGGAGGAAATTTCTCAAACCAATCGGTGAGCTTGGCTATGTCGGCTCCATCCTTGTTTTGGCGGGCTTGTCCGAAATCTGCATGCTGCTCACTGGTGGAAAAAAGAATTCCACCGAACTCTTCTAAAGAGGTGCAGATATCATGAGTTGCACTTACTCCTACCACCCATTTGCTAAGAGTGCTGTTTGTGACTCCCCTACCACGAGTCATGCCACCTTGGCTGGAAAAAGAACGCATCAAAGTGGTCTCAATTGTCATATCTGACCAGACTCCAGCCCAATATCGGTCTGATCGGCGCATCGTGAAGTAGCTGTCCTTAACAAATTTGTGATATTCTTCAGGCGATAGTTTTTCGTGTAGATTCTCCATGTCTTGTATGTAGAGGTGACAAGACTTTGCATATGGGAAGTGCCCCGCTGCATGGAAGTACGGGATCATGCGTCTCACACATTCAAGGTGGGCATTGAAGTCCCCGGATCTCTCTGCATGTATATATTCCTTCATGAGGCTTACCATTTTGAAGTATTGTACCCACAGCTGTGCGGTAGGTCCTTTGCTGCTAAATAGCTCCATGGCGGCTCCAAATTTCTCAGACAGTGCTTTGAGGTGAGCGTTTTGGTTTAATTCAAGTAGAGAAGGGGGCTCATCCATAAAACTCATTGTCATGTTTTTTATGCAATCTATTTCATCTTCAGTTAATTGGATGCCTTCCAAAATCACTTTAGCCAGGGAAGCGGTTGCAAGTAGGTGGCCTCTTACTGCCCTCGCAAAAGCATGGCCTTGCATCATTTTTTCCACGGACAGAGGGGCATATATTGTGCTCAAAAGTTCTTTTAGGCCACTTCCAGACATGAGATATCCTATGGCCCCCAAGTAGGACATTAGAAGGTGGAAGCCACCCAAGCGAATGATGGATTTTGATAGTAATGAACCAGCAGGAGCACCTGCGACTACTTCTCTCGCTTTCCAGTAAAGCGGCTGGTCAAACGTTACTATCAACGACTTTTGACATTTTCCTGCGTATTGTAGCGCTGTATAAATCGTATCGTAGCTGGAAGGAGGAGCGTTTATGAAGGGAAGCGTTATAACTCTCGTCTTTTCGCTGAATTGTCCTGTGGTTATAGACTGCATATACCCTTTCCACCCGGGCAGTTGCAAACCTTGCTGTTTAGCAATGTACCACAAGATTTCATGAGGATCAGGATGAGTGGGTTCATCTGGGATCAACAATTCTTGCACAATGACGGACTTTAATCCCACTTCCTTGAACTGTAGTGTTTCAAGTGGAATAATTCCGAGTTTTCCAATCTCCAGGGACGTAGGCATCTTGGTCAGTTTAGGGAAGCCTGAACTTGAACGCTCCACAGAAGTGGCAGGTGTGATACATTTGATGCCACCCATGGCATGGAAAGAGTTGAATCCGTCTATGGTACAAGCATTAAAGTCGGCGTTGTCAAACACCAATTGAGTGAATGACTTCGGCTTGATATTTGGTTGAGCATTGACAAGAGCAGACATTTCCAACCTTTGTGCTTCGTGGTATGATGCGCAAAACCCCATGTTTGCTAAAAGATCAATTAATCGTCTTGAGCCGTATTTCCTGTGAAGGAAAAGGGAAAGGCCGCTCAATACTGAAGAAGTAAAAGTCCGGGGTCTGATTACTGAGGTTATAGCATGAGCGACCGTAACACACTTTCTCTTGGTTTCTTGGTTTCTCATCGTTTTGTTCATCATCAAGCTTTCGAGAAAAGTGAGTAAGGATTTTGGGAGATCTTCTGCATCTTTAAAGAAGTCATCGGTTGGGGGGTATTCTGTGTGATTGCAAACTTTGCTCTGAATATCATTCCTAATAATTTCGGCGGCTTTTTGCACAATCCTGAGTCTTTCGTCACTTTCCTTGTTTTTTTTTTCTTCATACCAAGCATCGCGTAGGATTTGTTTCCCGGTATCCATAAAACACAGCACTGGAACATGAAATCTGTTTGAACCTTCAGAAACTATCAAACGAGACCCATACTTGGCTTGAAGTCGTGCTTTTATAGTTTTCCATAACGGTTTCTCTCCAGTAATTGCATCGAGAATTTCAGTCTGTGAGAACTGGCAATCTGTACTATTATCAATGAAGGCATAAATATCATCCATAGCTTTTGCTACGTATTCGGATGAGGAACTTCCTGTTTTCTTATAAGCATATAAGGGCTTGATGAATTTTAGACGGCATTCATTGTGATAAATTGCCTCTTCTGCAACGAGGTCATTAACACCGGCAAGACGAAGGATCACTTCTTCACCCCAACTATCATTCCTTACGGAGGCTGCAGACATACATACTTTATGGAAATCAAGAGTGAGGACTGGATGTACCTTCTTTCTTTTGCCTTGACTCTTCTTAGTTTCATCTTTAATGAACTCTCCACAAATGAGACAATTCTTTGTGAAATCAAACTTGGGTAATACAGATCGCAGCACCGATGTTTCAGGCTGAGCAGATATTGAATCCTCTTGTTTCTTCAAAACCGCGATCGACTGGGACCTCGTGTAATTCTTTCTACACAACGTGTGAACGAGAAGTGAAGTCACATTGGCTAGTTGGCTAATTTTGCCGTCATCCCTCTCTTTACTGGCTTTTTTAAGGGAAATTATCCCTTTTTCACCCACTTTAGAAACATGAGGACTCGATGCAGTCACTTCCTTATCACAAACAAAACACTTGCTGCTCATTTTGACTACACTAAAACATACAAAAAAAAATCTGTAATTGCTTAAACATTTAAAGAAAAATAGATAAAATAGTATGGTTGTTGAGTAAAAGGCAATTGTTTCTCAATGACACTAATTTACTTTCTTTTTTACTTATGGAATATTTACATGAAAGAGTATAAAAATGACTTATTTACACATGGACTATATAATAGGTAGTGTTGGTCGTGAACATGGCCCCCGGCGGTGTAGTAGACACCTACTTATTTAGGCAACGGCCAACACTGCCAGTTTTCTTACCGGGCGACGCAGGACACCCCCTTTAGTCAATACGTCTACTACCCTTTTTTTTTTATACGCAGGCAAAAAATACTATTTACAGACGACGGCGCCTTTAAGAGGCACACCGCCGAACGGACCTCACACCTGGCTCCCGCAAGCCTTACGAGCCCCAGCAGTGGCTGCCCACTGAGGACCCCGTAACCCTTACGGGCGCTATACGGCATAATATCCGCTAAAAAACCCTGCGAACACCCTCTAAGCTGCTTAGTGCGAAGCCGCGGAATCCCCGTTTAGGGATTCTTCCGCGTCTCCGCACCTAGCAGCCTCCCGGCCTTACCGAGGTTCCGCGGCAGGGGTCTCCCGGTGTATCGCGAGGACCCCACAGACGTGCGCAGGACGGCCCGCGCGTGGGGGCTGAGTACGCGGCCTAGTGCCCACCGTACCGCCCCCATACGTCTACTACACTAACAATTTTGTCCTTAAATAAAAAAAAAGGCAATTGTTTCTATTATTGAAGATAATATAATGCTCTACAACCCTACGGCCGGCATTTATTTTTTGGGTGCATTGTTGAAGAGTTATCCGGTCAAATAGAGCAAAAATGGGAACAAATTTTTTTTCCATAATTACAGACTATACAAGATATCAAAAAATTTGACTGAATAAGACTTGTAGCAAATTTAATCAGCTTTCACTTTTGTGAAAGTCTCATGTCGCTAGGATGCATAGTTTTCGAGATATATGCGAAAAACCTAATAATGGGACCTTCAAGACCCCCCCCCCCCCCCCTTAAGGGCTACGGGCGGGGACTTTTGATATGTTTACCTCCTAACTAGTCCTAACAAAGTTACGAAGTCAAAAATTGTGTTCTAAGCAATTCCCTCTATACCTTTTCGTTGCCTGGACTATTGGGAAGGGGTGCGGGGTGTGTATAAAGTTGCAAACATACGAGTATCGGTCAGACCAATTGATCTGATCTATGGTACGTTTTCACTCTCGCCTCTGAAATTTCTACTGCCCACTTACACCAAAGTTATATTATGCATAATCGTTTTTAACACATCATTCCATCTCCGTTAATTGTATAAAGTCAAATAGAGAGAGAGATTGAGGCTTAACCATGATTAGGTTTTAAATTTGAATTAGGAACTATCGTGCAAGTGGGCCTAAGTAAAAATTAAGCCCGCACTCAGAGCCGTCAATAAATTTTAGGCTATATTAAAATTAAAGCTGTTCCTTTCTTTACAAGCTAAGCCAATAAATTAAGGTAATAGTCCTCTTGGCAAATGTTAAAGATTGATGTTTGTCTCTCAGTGCGACTGTTACACGAAGAAGTTTATGAAAAGCGAAACATGAGCTTGAAAATACAGCATTGATTTTCCAACAAATTAAGATTTGAAATTACGGCATCACAGATGCGGATCTAATGCGAGTTTTCAAATTATGAAATAAGTAAATACCAATGGACTAGAAAATTTGAAGAATTTCTCAGAAGAAATTTCCGAATGCGATTCTCTGATTCGGAAGGGGGAATTAGGTTTGAAAATTAAAATAATAGTCAAGGTTATTTTAAATACTAAAAGCAATATTAAATTAGAAATTTAGAAAATTTTATTATAATATTTTGTAAGGAAAACTCCCTCAGATACCATCAACTTATTTATTCATACTGAATTTAGAGTAAGAATCCTTTAATTTTCGAGTTATTCTCAGCAAGCCCTTTAATTTAATACCTTAAACTTAGTTCGAAATAACTGTGCATGGAAGAGTTTTGTAATATTCCCTGACTGGATATTCTACCACGTCCCAGAAGTATTTACTATTATTTGCACGGTTTATACACCACTTCCTCAAACGTGAGAGAAAATAAAATTAAATGTGAGCATGTACTTACCGCTTCTGATTTGTAAGGAAAACTCCTTCAGATACCAGCAATTTATTAATTCAACTCCAGATTAGTAGTCCTTACAATAGTAATTACAGACAACACGTCGGAACACTTCAACCGCCATGACCAGAATGATCATTCAACGCCCCGCCATGATTAAGTCAGTCAGTCAGTTCATTCGCGCCATCTGACACTTCCGGTTTTTATTAATTTTAATAAAGTGATCGATAAAGTGTTTTTAAATTTATAAAAAAATATAAATTGAACCCCTCACGTCCCTAAGGTCATGCGCCATTCTTACGTCAAGTGCTTACGTCATCCGTCAACCCCCCGCTGGGTGGGAACGATTGCATTGTTTTGCCGATTTCTCTGTTATTTCGTAAGAATACCCTACACAAACTATATTTGAATTCTCCATAAAATTTACTACTACAATGCGTCATGTCTATAATCTATTTTAATTACGTTATGGTAAATTCGGGAAAGATAAAAAAAAGGCGTTTAGTTGGGTAAAATGGAGTATATTTTAAAAATTTTAAAATTTCATGTCCAGATTTTTTGGTTATTTGCACATTCTATTATAACTTACCAAATAAAATCATAAAATACCATACTCCCTCAATTTAATTTTACACTATAGCTCTCACAATCCACGCGCCAGATGCGTAAACAAACACGCATTATAAAAAACAGGTGTCGGGTTTCGGGTAGGCGATAACGATTAGACGGGCAGTCTAATAGCCATGATTTATGGGTTTACGGTTAGCTAAGATTGTAAACATCACTTTAGAAACAAGTGTGGCATGCGAAGTCCTTTTTTATTTTATAGTTTTAAGAACTTGCAACAAGGCATTTTAAAATCGCCTACAAATCAGTCATCTCAGTTTTATGTCGATAAAACGAAAAGTACTTACAATTTTGATAAACAGTTTCTTTTATCAAAATGTACATTAAATTTGCTTTAGAATAAACAAAAACTAATCACTAGTTCGCATACAAGAAAATAATATGAAAAAATATTTCATTCGAATATTTGAATTTAGAACGACCGTTACACTGCGCGGCTTTTGTTTTTTTTTATTTCTTCAAAAATACTAACTCAAGAGATTCTTTGTATTCGAAATATTAATCATGAATAATTTATTCAATAACTATAAATTAAAACATTACAATTATTATCGAAATTATCACCATGAAAACATAAGCCACAAACCCTTTTTTTTATTGTTTTTTTTTCGAGGTCGAGAACAAAAAAAATATTAAAAAAAAGCACGTAAACCCGCCAACGAAACATCAAAATAAAGTAACTTAATGTATTTAACTAGCCCAGGGATGGTGTTTTTTAAAAAAAAAACACTGAATAACACTTTAAATAGTCTGAATACACAGCATATTTTTTTCATACAAAAAACGGCGAGCGACGAACTTCCACAGACAACAGTATAAATATTTCATATGGCAGTTGTCTTAATCAATGGCTAGATAGCTAGCCTGTTCTTTCCTCTACAAATTGATATAAGAATGTAGGTGATAGCAAAAAGAATGAATCTTATATTTTCCATAGTATAACTGGGGTCGCGCGGAACCGAATGTCGACCCCTCGGCACTTTACCGATTTTTGACAGCGACCTAAATATGGCCGCTCAGCACTTATAAGGAAAAAATAAAATTGAACCTAATAATAACAACAATAACATCAAAAAAGCTATCGTTACGATAATTATTTTATGCTAATCATTCATTTGTATAATGATTACTTAATTCTAAAATTTGAGCAAGATTATTATGTCCAGAGTGCTGTTATTTCAAAACAGTTCAAATATAATATGATTTTTCTTTTATTTTAAGCATCAAACTTAATATGAAGGAGAAGTCAAAAGACAATTTTTAGTTTTCTTCAGAAAATTTAGCTGGATTTATAAATCTAAAGAATTTTATACTAAAAATATTTTAAGACTTAAATGAGAATTATGAAAAAAAGAAGAAACATTGTTCACTACACAAAGGCGATGGTGTTAGCCCCTCCTTTACACGTGTCGTCTTTATGTCACAGTTAAGCTCAGGACTCACTTAATATATGATGCACCCTATGATATTTCGTACTCTTTATCTTCAAATGGTTGGATGAAACATTCAGAGAAGACAGTCTAATCCACGTTTTTGCAAAATCCCTGGGATTTTCGGGAAAATTCGATTTTGCAAATCATCCTACCACATACACACAGGGAAATTGTCATTTGTGTCAAATTATTTAATTAGATTACGAAGTATACACTTTAATTTGAACTTCCCGGAATCGCGGGACTTTTTTCGATAAAAAAGTGCTTTCCGTAGTACCCAACATCGTAACTTTAGTAATAGTATATGCATCCGATTATCCGATCCCTATTCATATCTGGGCCGAAGTGAATTTATTCCAGCAACAATTTTTTTTTGATACAAAAATAATTCATTTATGTTAGCATTTTTATAATGTTAGCATTTTTTACAGATCGGTCAATAGTACAGTTATTGTTTTTATCTTAGTTTGTCTATGCTAAATCACGCCACATCACCTTACCTCCCTACCATCTTATCACGTGACGTGAAGGGGGGACGGACTAGCGAGTGGAGCGGTCATAAATACGGTATTCAGTCGAGAGCCTTCGTCGTGAATAGTGGTCCAAAATTTAACGTGGTGTTGCTGCTAAATATTCTTGTTATAATAATTTTAGTTTATATTACAGTGAAGTACAAGTTGAATGAAGCAAGTGGAAAATTAACATTGTGGTTTAACTTCTGGAAACTAATCTAATAGTTTCAGAAGCGGGATGGACTGAGAATATCCTGATATTCTCACTACGCCCAGAAAAAAACGCAAGTTATTTTTTATTTTACTTTTTTTTCTCATTCATAAGTGCTAATTTCATAACTCCTATATTTAAAGTTTCAAGAACGTTACATTTTTTATTATTATTATTATTTTACATGATCATACACGTCCCAATAATGCTTCTGCATGTATCCTGCCAGGGCTACTCCCTGGGGTTACGTGTAGTTGCTGTAAAAATACACACCTTACTGGGGCTACTCTCTGGGAGTGTGTAAATGAAGTTATAATCTTATTGTTTCTCTTGAATACTTTTGCATTAATTAATAGTAGCCTCCAGAGGCTATTGCCTGGGGTACGTGTAATTGTTGTCCAAATGCACACCATATTGGGACTACTCTCAAAGGGTGTGTAAATGTGATTATATATATATATATACATATATTTTCTTCTTGAATACTTCGTGGGCTACACTGAGTTTGCATTAATGTAGCCATTGTGTAATTGAACACTGAGATATGATATAGCACTTCTCTATAAAGTATGTAATCAATGCAACTCGGTTTTGCATAAGAGTCCTTTCACATTTTTTGCAAAAAACTAGCCTCG